CTCCTCTCGTCCTCCTGTCTTCCTCCTCTCGTCCTCCTGTCTTCCTCCTCTCGTCCTCCTCTCAGGTCCTCCTGGTAAATGCTTCTCAGGTCTGTAGCCCTGTTAGCTCCAAGATGTCTGATTATTGTCATGTCCTGCTGCTCTCTGTCTGCTGCTAAAGAATGACCTGTGCAGAAAGCCTGCAGCTACAGTGAAGCAGGTGGAGATCCCTCCATCCTCTCTGGTGGCGTTTACAGTCAGTCACAGATTTTCGCTGGTATCGTCTGATGTGCTGAGTTGTATCTCTGCTGCCAGTGGGTCCAGCCTTCGAGAAGAAACCATAGAGAAAAATGATGAAAACCAGGGTTCAGAATGAGGCGTCAGCTTGGTCCACATGGGCAGCTTCTGATATGGGCGGCATGGGCAGCTACCCAGGGCAGCATCTTGTGGGGGCAGCATGAGTGGCTAGACGGTGAAGGGTTTTTCACATTTACACAGGTCTCTCTTTTAAATAAGACAATGAGTTTCCATAAATTTCCCTGTATAAATACAGGGGTAACAACATTTCTGCCACAGTTAAAGGACCTTTGGTCAAACAAAGTTCAGGTCTTCAGTTTTCTAGCTAATCCTGGATGGTTGTCGAAAGTCTTCCTCCCATCCTGCAGGTTAGGATGTGAGTCTCTGGGTGGGGGCCCCAAATGTTGCTGAACTACATTGTATGTAACTTTTGTGATGTCACCAAAGATGACGTCTCACACTATGAATGCTGGGAGATGTGGTCCAGTCAGTGTGTTTGGGTAAATGGAGGTTCGACACAAGAGTAAAGAAGAGTTTAGTAAAATGGTTACTCAAGATCATAACTTCAATGTAACATTTAAAAATATCATCAAACAGAAAAAAGTATAGTTATGTGGAAATATAGAGCAACAATCTTATTTCTTTGTGTTTCTTCTCGCAGTCTGTCAGGTGGAGGTGGAGGAGGGGGAGGAGTCTGTCCTGCTGCCGTTCAGAACAACACCTGACCTGCCTGGAGACGCTACAGTGGTGTGGGGACGTTTTGATCCAGAGCCAAAGATGATCGTTCACATGTACTACAGCAGGTCTGACCAGCCTGATGACCAGGATGAGTATTTTAGTACCAGAACCAAGATGGCTGACGACCTGCTGACGTCTAGAGACCTGAGTCTGACTCTGAGGCGTCCCACAGTGAGAGACAGTGGACGGTATGAATCCTGTGTAGAGAGTGGGCAGATCTGGAGAAAGAAAACCGTTCTGCTCAAAGTCAAAGGTCAATTTGTCTTGTTTTGATTGTCTTTTTGAACCATGGTTACCTCAGTGGCTAACCCAACCAACCAACCAACCAACCAACCAACCAACCAACCAACCAACCAACCAACCAACCAACCAAACCAAACCAACCAACCCAACCCCATTACATTAGGTAACAATACTACATGTTAAGATAAAGTATTAACCTAAATATTAGACAGTTTTCACCGTCTCCCATAAAACACTCTTCAATATACATAAAAAGATGCTAATTAGACATTAAGATATTAAATATTTGGCATAGTTTAATTTAATGGCTAATGAAAAGCATTTATCTATTAATCATTAAAACTAAGTATATAGAATTTAGCTAGTAGGTTAGCTAGCATTAAGTTTTAAGTCTATAAATGTCAACTATTATACTCTATCTGTAAAAGTATATACTACAGATAGCTGGCTAGGTAGCTATCTGTCAAAGTATTGTCCAATAAAAAGTAATAGTTGTAAAGTAATGATAATAACAGAATATTAAGGGTTAGTAAATAATTAAGGGATGCTAATTTAAAACAATTAGACAAGATATCCAGTACTGAAGGCAAACTGTCATTTTTGACAAGCAGCAAATTGAATCAAAATAATTGGTAGTTTTTGTGAAAGTAACCTGCTCACCTGTAAGGTTCCAGGAAGCAATGTGTCATTTCTGATTATTTTTACCTTTTATGAAAGTCACCTGTAGGACTTGGAAAGGGCCTGGAATGACCTTGAAACAACATTTAGATCTGGTGAAATAAACCTGGAACTCTGTGATAATAACCTTAATATAAAGTAAAACATAATTTATGTTGAGATTACACACTTTTTATTATTTCTTTCTCAGTAATTTTTGAAGGATTAAATGGAAATCAATGGAAAGTAACCAGTAAGTACTGGGAGAGGCCTCTGATGATAAAACAGCAGTTTTTCTTTTCATGCTAATCTGTATTATTGATTTCTGTTCTGCTCCCTCTGTGTTCGCTCAGCAGACTGTCTGCAGCTGATTGGTTGTTTCTGGGCTCTTGTCTCTAACTTGTCCTCTGTCTCCTCTGCAGGGACAGTCCTGGTCCAGGACCAACTGGAGGACATCAGGACCAGAAGTGGTTCTGTTGATCCGACTCCTCTCATGGCTGAAGAAGCTGATCGACATATTGATCCATATTGATCATTGACTGTAAATCCATCTGACTTTGGATCAGAGTGAAATCTCAGGATCTGCCGGGATGAAAACTATTTTTATCTGCTCAGTCTTGGTGTGCATCCACACTAGGTTGGTGAGGTGTGAACGCTAACTGACCTCTGACCTCTGGTCCTCCAGACCTCGTCTGGGTTCAGTTTGAATGTGAACGCCAAGCAGACCTGAGGCCGCTCCAAAAGCAGGAAGTGGACTACAGCACAGGGCATTCTGGGTAAATCCAACCAAAGCTAACATGCTAGCCTAGCGCTAGCAGCAGAAATGACTCCTGGTCTTTAGCCTAAAGAGAAATCCTCCAATCGCTAAAATCTGACGCCTCCATCTTGTTTCCATCTGGTGAAGAAGGAAGTTGCTCTCAACGTCTTCAGAGGTTTTTGTGTCGTTTCCTTCAGTGGTTCTTGGTGCAGCGCCCCCACAGGCCAGGAGGGGAACAGGTTGGTTTGACTCAGAACCAGGTGGAGCAGATGGAGTTCCAGTAGAACCGGGTCAACCGGACCATCAGGAAGGATAAAACCTTAGATTTGGAAACCAGCAGTATTTTGTGGTGGATCTGTGTCAGGTCCATGTCACAGATTGATCCTCTGAAAGAACTGATTCAGATTTTTGAAGTGAAGTCACATCTTCAGAGTGGAGGACACTACAAACTGAGTGACCACAGATCCACTGGGCCTAAACAGCTTTGAGCCCTAAAAAACACAGAAATGACTCCAGAAGTTTATTTTGTTTGGGCCGAGCTCCAGCAGACAGCCGGGTCCGCTGATGTGCTGGGAAGATACGGCAGATGTTCTGAAGATACTTTTTCCAAAAAGTTACTCAAGTTAGATGTAACTAATTACTTCCCAATGACAAGTCCTTCTCAAAAAATTAGCATATTGTGATAAAGTTCATTATTTTCCATAATGTAATGATAAAAATTAAACTGTCATATTTTAGATTCATTGCACACTAACTGAAATATTTCAGGTCTTTTATCGTTTTATTTTACTGGAAGTTTGAAGACTCAAACTGACCCATACAGAGGAGAGACAACATGAATGTGAAATATGTGGGAAAACATTTCAAAGTTTTTGTAGCCTCAAAAAGCATAAACAGACACATACTGGAGACAAACCACACAGCTGAGCAGTGTGGGAAAGATTTGATTAGAAAAACTACGGTGGATGTTCAGACGATCACAGTGGAGAGCAGCCGTAGCTGTGAGCTGTGTGAGAAACTCTTCACTCTGAAGTCAAACTTAAAGGCACATCAAAAAAAATCACCACAGCTGATGAAGATTTCTGTAAGATGAAGCTGATCTTTAACTAGAACGGTGGTTAAAATGCTATATTTGGTTTTATTTATACTCATTTACTTTGTGAAAATAAGAAGTGGCTTTTCCACATAAGGTTACATCTGTGTCAATTAGCCATGGCTAAAAGTGTTAATTTGTTTAACATGGAAATGTTTTAAGTTTTCCTTATCAAATAAAATAATTTGTCTTGCATTAATTTCTTGTTTCAGTATTGACCAATACAGTGACATTAGATGGTTTAGTAAAGAAAACTAACCTGGTAAGATGATCTGATCAGGCTGAGTGTGTTTATCAGAGTCGTGTTCAGTGAATCTCTAACAGATTGAAATGTTCCTGGAAAAACCTGGGAAATGAAGTTTCAGCAAAAATAAAGGAGGTTTTTTATGCTTTATTTTCCTGCTTTTATGAAATAAAATAAAATTGACAAGGAGCTTATAGCAAACATGCAGTAGGGGGCGATATAGGCATCAGGTGTGGCCTTTATTAAGCAGAAGAAGGAGAAACCAGGGAAGACTCATGTTGATCCAACAGATCCACCCAGCTGGAATCAGAAGTGATGTTCTGTGGCGACAGGTGTGGCGACATCATCGTATTCATCATCCAATCCTGGCTCTGCTGAGGTCAGAAATGCAGGTGAGGTTGATGATGGGAGCTGAGATCAGATCATGGTTACCTGATGGTTACCTGTGGTTCTGCTTCGACACACAGAGACCAGGAGGGCAGTGCAGATGAAGTATGGACAGAACACCAACAGGTGGAGCAGAACGTGGAACACAAAGTGCAGACCTTCTTCTACAGGAGGCGGAGCTGAAGCTGAGACTGAGGAGGATGAAGGTGAGTTAATATGCTGATGAAGCAGAGCTGAAGATTCAGAGAAGCTGCTGACCTTCCACAGAGATCCTGCTGGATGGAGACTCTCCCTGACCGCTGATGCTGCACTTATAGAGGCCTTCATCAGAGCTGGAGACATGGAGGAGGGTCATGTGACCTGATGGTCCATCACCAATGAAGGAGCCATCTTTATAGAAAGCAGCTGGGAGGTTGTGGGCTGGACTCTTTGCTCTGCAGCTCAGAGTGACGTCATCTCCCTCCATCACAGGGAGGACAGGACTCTGCAGGATCACTGATCCACCTCAACACAAACATCCACCAGAGGGAGACACTCATCATCAGGTAGTTGAAGTACTGAATACACCACTGATGAAATCAGACTGTTTCTCCTACGGCTCGGCCTCAACGCTCCCCCACCACCCAGGTGTCCTTCACATCCCCTTTCCTCCTGAAGCATTTGGAGGGTTCTCCCCAGTGGTCTTTAGCTCCGCCCCTTTTGTCCCCTTGATCCACGCTGCAGCTAATCCCACAGCAAAGTGTATTACCCACAATTCCTCCACAATGCCAGTGACGTTTTTAATTCAGATGTGGCGACGTTCACAGAGTGAGCTGTATGTCATGAAAAAAATCAGTTTTCAAAAGTATTGAAATCATTTTTGTTTCACTAAACGTGTAATTATATTAAATTTTCTGTATCCAACAAGTCATAACAAAACAGCCAAATATCTCCAGCACTAACTTAAGAAAGCAAAAATACCTTTACTGTACATTTAAAATAATTTGTTGTACTTTTAGCAGCACAAATACCTAAACAGTCACCAGTCAACCTGCTATGTTGGATGTGAAGTTACCACACAGGGCCGTTCTGTCCCAATCCTCAAAGTTTTGCTGCTTGTAACCTGAACACTTAAACCCTGATGTGACTTTGACTGAACCTACACTTCATAGAGGGGCGTAAGGTCCAGCCTCAGGATTGGACTGGGTCTACATAGATGCCTCACTATGTGCTACACTCTGCAGCCTGCTGGGGGCGCTAAAGCTGGTCTTACCAGTGACAGTTAGGTTGACCATGCTGCTGATGACTCCCTCTGTGGACTGGCACCAGTAGAGGCCGCTGTCCCATGAGACGGTCAGACTGATCCTGCAGGTGGCGCCCGTCCTTCTTCCCCATTTCACTCCACACTCAGTCATGTGCTGGTTGCTGGTGTTTCTCCTCAGGATCCATCCAGCAGAGCTGCTGATGTCGTCGTCACAGCTCAGACGCAGCGGCTCACCTTCAAATATCTGGGAGCTGCTGGGATCCACAGTCAGAGAGGCTGGAAAGGAAGCAGAGACACTTCAGATAAGAACAACCCATGGTTCTGGATTGCTTAGTGTGTATCTGGTTGGAGAACACTGTTCCAAAACAAACAGATGAGCAGCCACCTCTCAAGACTTCTTTCATGTCTCCCATCCCTTCCACACTAACCATGACAGCTTACCAGAAACAACATTATCTGCACTGTGTCTTGATTCATGTTCTGCCCTGTCCATGTTGCATTTAAGCTCTCATTCAGTTCACCTGCCACGCCTGATTCCTTACCTGTTCCACCTGGGCCTTGCCCTACTTAAACACCCCTCAGCCTCTGCTTCCTTGCCAGTTTATCGACATCAGCGAGCCAGTAGAGATCCAGTGTTTCTACAACCCCTGCCAAGCCCCTCACGGATCCCTTCTATTCTGGATTTCTGGACCCTGACCCAAGCTCTGCTTCACGACCACCGATTCCCGCCGGCCCCTAGTGACGGGCAGATGAGGCCTCACTGGGTGTGTGGTACATTTCCCAAACCGTGTTGACACTGCTGAAACTGTGTTGCTTTGTCACTCAGTGACATCTGCTGAATTTAGAAAGTCATTGCAGTTCTATGGCAAGCCGTTTTAAGATAAATTTGGGTTCGTCTGACTATCCCTAATTACATTCCAGATATCTAAAAATGCATTTTGACTATCCTGAATGGTAATTTAATATATCTGTATTTATATTCTGACTAGTAAGAATAATAATTCAAGATATCTCAAATGATGTCACTGGATCTGTCATTTGACGGGACACATATCCGTAATTACCATTTAAGATATCTTCAACACAAAGAACTTCCTGTTTATTCATTTCCGACGAACCGAATGTACTTAAAAACAGCTTTGAAAAGCTGAAATTGCTATTGTTAAACCATTTTTTATGTGAAGGTGGCACATTTTCAAACATTGTTTTTTCTATTTCTCATTGTTTTATTAAACTTTGAATTTACTACGTAAGTTTAAGACGTTTTGTCTAGACAGAATAAATAATTCAAGATATCAGTAATGTCGTTCTGACTAGTCGAAATGTCAGTTTAAGATATCTTAAAGAGAAAAGCTGTGTAATTCAAGATATCTCCAACTCATTTAGAGATATCTTAAAGTATGGAAGCCCATTTCCGACACTGTTACAAAATTATCTCAAAATTATGAGATACTATTGTCTCATAGTATCATTATGAGATAATTATTTAGAAAATAATTCTCTCATTGGAATGAGAGAATTATTTTCTAAATAACGACACTTTAATGTAAAGTTGTCACTTTTAATGGACTTTTAGAGCAACTCTGCATTAAAAGTGTCATTATTTACCGAATGACACTTCATGACAACATTCATAAAGACTTCTTCATGTTCATCTTATGTTTATGACAGTGTCATGTCAGTCTTATGCACACCCTGTCAAAGTGTTACCAATGAAATTAATAATCTTTATGTAAGACTCCATCAGAAGACCAGTGATGGGCTGGGGGAATAGTTTCTGTAAATCATTCAGGTCCACAAATCTTCTAACAAGTCAGATATTATTTCAGTATGTCCTGGATAAACACTTTGTGAATGTAAAACTAAATTGCATGAGTTAGTTAAAATTTGTTTCTATGGTATACTTAAAAACACTAATATATTTTAGTTTCCTCCAATTTATCCATTTATATGGTCAATTTATTAATTTCTATGTATTTAAAACTGTTATTTATTTTTGCAAAATAGTCATCCATCCATCCATCCATCCATCCATCCATCCATTTTCTTTACACCTTTGTCCCTTTGTGGGTCAGGAGCTGCTGGTGTCTCTCCAGCTAACATTCCAGGCGAGAGGCGGGGTCACCTGGACAGGTCAGGTCACCTGGACAGGTCAGGTCACCTGGACAGGTCGCCAGTCTGTTGCAGAGCAACACAGTAGTGTCTAGTTCAAACATCACTATACAGTGTAAACATGTTCAGGTTCTCCGTTTTCTTAGACTTCCTTGTTCAGAGAAACTGTTGATACATGAACAAGCAAAGTTTTAATCATGTTATTACTAACAGATAACCATTTGTGAGTTTTCCTAAAAGTATACGATTGTTTGCAGTTATTAATTTGATAAGAATTAAAATGCTGTCATTACTCTTGACATATGTATTTCAGTGTTTTTCATTATTATTGGCAATCAGTTTATTGACAGTGCAACAGCAAATTATAAACAGACTCTACACTTTATTCAGAATGTATTTATTTTCTATTCTGCCAACAAAGAACAATCCATTATTTTGACATTCCCACAAATAAATCACAAGTCCTTCAAAAACTCTCCTTGTTGCATAGTCCACTTCAGATAAAGGAATATACCAGGATGTACCCAGTAAAACAAAAATACCCTTTTTATAACCTTCCACAAAATAAATCCAATGTGTAAAAAAGGAAAAATAAATCAGAAAATGATTTGATGGATATGAATGCAATGCAACAAATACAACAGTCAACACAGTTCTGTCTCATAAAAAGTTACAATAACAATAAACAGTTCCTATTTTTGTTCGTTCTGCCTGTGAACTTCTAAACATTTCCTACAGTCATTTTCACTTTACCTCTTCTGATTTATTGTGTCAGCTAACAATTAATTATGGCAAAACAAAAGTCAGCTACATTTTATTGTTTGGCATCATGGCTTTTTTTTGACTGCTCCCCTGAAAGTTAACAGATCTGAAAATGCAGAACTTGTGCATGTCTGGTAGAATATCTCTACTTCTTACAATAAGACGTTTCTTTGGCAACAATAATAAAGTAATTGACATTAAATGCTGCAAATTTCATAAAAAAATTACCAGGAAAAGATCAAAATGTTTGTCTCTTTGACTTCAGAGCGTTCTTCTTTACAGTTGTTTCAGATTACTCTTTCTTCATGAGCAGTTCTTCTTTCACCCAGCTTTGATTTCAGGCGCTCAAACAGTTTTGATTTGCGACTGTTTGGGGGCCATTTTCCTTTTTTACAGTATCCTAACAGGGCTATGCGGTCTCCATATGATGGCAAATAATTCTTTAACTCTTCATCTGTCATGAGCTGGATGACGTTGGTATCAATCTAAATAAGGACAATAAAAAATATTTCTTTAAAACTATAAAAATGGAACTAGAATTG